TACAAGTCAGTGTTTTTATCCTCCCAGACAAGTCTGGTACCAATTAACCGACCCCGGAGGGATGGAAGGCTTGGTTGGCCCGGGCGACTCACGACCCAGGATTTGATCCCCGGACCGCTCGCGTGGTAAGCGTGCCACTTGCCACTACACCACTTCCGCCCTGGGATACAATTTGAAATTATCATCACAGTTACTGATAAGGATGAGCATCGTGTCAGAGTTCTTTTCCTAGGAAATCTCTTCTTTATTCAGGGAAGAGGACAGGAGGAATGAGTGGAGTACTCAAAAAGTTTGGCTACTTTGCAAAATTAGGCAGTAAAGATTGATAACTCATACTTTCAAGAGTCGAGGGCTATGGATAAGTCCTTGATGAATCGAGTCGGAACGCCGAAATGTGAGAAAAGGATAACCGAACGAAGTTTATAGGCGCGGAGGATGAAAAGTTACAAAGTGAAATCTATATTTATACATGTATGTTATATTTATTTATATATGTGTTCATATAATTTACTTGTTTTTCATGAAATGTTATGATTAAAATAACAAAAAAGTTTCTTCTAACTGAAAACTTGCAAATAAGCCTGAGCTCATCAGCCTGGAGTCGAGTACTAATCTCGACTGACCATGAGCTGAGAATCGGAACTCGATTTTCATGCAATTTAGATCAGGTCATAGCAAAATACGGATAAATAGGCAAAATAGTCAGAATCTGATAAGATGCATGATGATGATAATGACGATGATGAAAAATGATTAGCTGATAAATTTCGCACCACCAACTAATTGAGCTATGGCTTTGATGGCTTTTTACTCTTGCAATCTTACTACCAGAAAAGGAACTCATAACATACACGAACCTAAATCAGAATATGCATAATACAGAAAGGTGTTCTCGGTTCTGAAGGTTTAAGGCAGAGGCTGGGCTGCGAAAGATGCGAAAACGTGGGCCTGATGGTCATAGATCCTTCCCCCATCACCGCAACCGAAGGCCCGCACTGGCTCATCGAATTCTCCGGCTATTCAGCTCACCTCTTCGGTTTGCTGTAACGTATTATACGAAAAATTCGCGCAACGATGGAGTTCTGATTGTTCTGGTTGGTTCTAACTCCATTTTGCGCGAATTTTGGCACGTCAACTCGAAATGCAAAAATTTGTTACCACGAGGAATCGAACTAGGGACCCCTTTTCTGGTATTCAGAGGGCCGTTCAGGAAAAATTGAACATGGTTCTGTGGTTCCCGCATCTGCCCCTATATCATGCAAAAGACCGTTTTCAAAAAGCTTGTCACGCCCTGAAAGACCTTCCTGGTAAGCCTACTAGGCCCTCTGGGCCTGACCTGTAGGAGAATCGAACGTATCCATAGGTTTGAACTGTAGATGTATGAAGATCTGTGGTACTCCGCAAGCTATTCTGGAAGCCATAAATGCATCAGGCAAGCTACGCCAGTGCGGGCCATCCCACACGACTCACCTAAAAGCGAGGGAATTCGAAGGAAAACCAAAATCGCTCACGCATCCGCAATATGCCACTCTCGCCAAAGACATTGTCGGGTTTATAACAAAAGCAGGTGTTTTAGGTGATTTCGAATGCACTGCTACCGCAGTGCCCCCAGCGCCGTGCACATGATTGTCTTACATATTGAATGGGAAGAGCGTGGCACTTCAGAGCGAATATACATGCTCATCAAAAATATTCTTTCCAAGGAGAGAATTATCTGGCGGAGAAATCTAATTCGTTCACGTCTTCTCTGTCAAAAAAATCTTCGACAAAAACTCAAAATAGACGTTGACTGAAGGCTTTGAAGTGTGACAGTGGCTCTATCTTTACTACAATGGAGCGCAGTTTTAAATGAAACTGGTGGTACTGATATCGGGCAATAGGAAATGACTTTCTGATAAGAGTGAGACGAAATCTAATGATGCCAGGACACTTAACTATGTTGCTGATCTTTTCATTGATGTGTGTTCATGTGTTCCGTGTACACTTTCGCTCGGCTCCTTAGTGAAACGACGCGACGCTTAGGGCGAAGAACAACCCGAAATGTGCGCCCCGCCTCAGAATGGTCTCACCTCAGCAGAGACTACGCGCTACAGTTAGTGTAATGAGCGGCGCTGGTGATAACTGCAAATAGCATGTAAGCATCAGACACTTTGACTGTTTTATTCTGCCTATTTTGCAGACATTCGCGAGTAAAATATAAAACTCTATAGTCGTATTTTTTAAACATACAATATCAATAGAGGCCATCCTAGTGAAGACACTTTATCGAAAAGCACCACACTATTATCATAATCATTATAAACCCCATCGAAAACAAATTCATCGAATTCTAGTTTTGTTGTAACTGATTTGCCGCGCTCGCCTGCGAATGTTTTTACAACAATGCTGTCTGAACAAAACATCGCCGAAAACAGACGGGACTCGAACTCGCTAACTGTAACGCCACTTGATCCGAACAGAGCGTGCGGGTCGAGTTCCGTCCTGGGCAAAGTTTCACAACCCAGCATTCTGTGAAACACCGAATTAGTTTCAACTACCGGTTTGTCACTTTGTACTTGCTTCACTTTGCAACCGGCTCACCTTGACTGGAAATCCTATCTTCCAATAAGCACACGACAATTGATTGCCTGACCTCTGCAAACCTCTGATCAATTAGTGTGACTCAAAGAGCATACGTTCCAATGCCACCTCCATTTCTGCCCGCTATTACACCCACCACCGCCACGTCCTTCTATGTAAGAGGGCACAAAATATTCATATAACCGCTGTCGCTTTTCTTAGTACAAAGTCTTTCAAGGTAGCCTCTTTTACGTTTCCATGCTCTTTTAGACTTGCACCTTTTGATGTATAGAAATAAAAAATCAATAAATAGTGCACCACAACCTTGGCGATGTCCAGACCCCCGATCAAAATTATTATTTCCATTCTTTCCTCCCCCCCCCTCCTCATGGACTCTAGCTAATCATGCTATTCGGCTTTGCCTGATAAATCAAACAAATACTCATTTTGTACAATTGCTTAAACTAAGCTTTCGACAAAGGCCGTTCGCGTGCCTTGTGATCGCCCTTTGCTTATCAATTGTTCTTCTGCGAGTGCTCCTACCTTGAGCGCCCTGGACAAACATTTGCGACAGAACAAAACGCCGCTTTGAACTGTTTTATGGTGAAGAACATAACCTAAGAGCTCGCGTGGAGCGCTTATGGAACATGAAAAACCCAGAAGACAAAAGAATAATCGAATAGCTATCTTTAGTGGGCGTTTGACCTGGTCTCAAATACACCAAGGGTTGTCATTTCTCTGTAGATGCCCGTCACAGCATGACCTTCGAGTTGACGCAGCGATGAGGTGCTAGCTACTTTTCACTGGCTCGTAATCAGTCCCAGCCTTGAAGATAAACTTCAGAGCACTCGTGTTATCTTTGTGCGTCCAACGACATCTCAACCCTCTCTCAGATCTCGCTCTGTTATCGACAGTAACTGAAACTTTGGCACCTGACCCGTCCGGTTTTAATAAAAACTGGTGGTAGATAAACAGTGAAAGCTCAGAGCCTCTTAACTGATCGACCAAAGGATACAGTGGAACATAATTCCCATGCTAACTCAGTCACAGTGTGACTTAGTTCCGCTATACTCCGTGCATTTTTTTCGAACGGTGATCTGAGTGTTTCCCTCCCAACGCGAACGGTCGACGGGTAGATCTGGACGGGAAGATTACTTATTCAAAGTCTTCGAGCTAGAATTTCCATGTTCGATCCTCTTGGAACCTGAGCATTTCGATATTAAGTGTAGTCTCTGTGCCGTCCAGGTTTTTATGCTGGAACCCATTGGTCAGTGTTTCGACAAACCGTCGTCTTCAGGACCTAAAACTGGTTCGAAGTCTTAGCTTGTATTTATTATAACCCACCCGCTGAAGCGCCCAATCTCATTAGGTTTCCCAAAACTGAAAAAAGCATTCTGCATGCCTACGAAGTCGAAAAGATCAAAACGGAACCTTTAGGCAGCCTATCCGGGCCCTGAGATTCTAGCAGCCTCTCCCGAGCGGTCCTACCCAACGCTGCCGTATTGGGGGCTCCCTCAGGTTCAGGGGAATGAGGCCCATCCATATTGCTGTTTTCGGCATATTGAAGGCACACGAGTAGCTTGCCAGGCTCTGTCGTGCGGGCTAGGATAAACCTCCAGAGTGGCCCACGGCTATCCCTGGAGCGGAACAGGGCTTATTTCTTGGAGGCGGCCCCGAATCGCCTCCCATGTACTTCCCAGTCACTTGAATGCAAGCTTTTGGCTGTGCCGACATGCAGGATACCAACCGCACACACACAGAGCGCACCACACACGCAAGCATGCATGGATACACCTGTATGGGAAGCTGGTATGAATCGACACAGCACTACAGAAACAGGGAGTCCATCCCCTGAATCCACCTGCGTCTCAGGGCAAGTACATGGTGGCTTTTGGTCCGCGATTTACCCCCTATCCGCCACCTGGGGTCGCGCCACGTAGCCTCGCCACCAACCGGCTCGAGATCTTTCAGTGAGAGAGGACCCTCAGTGAAAGAGATCCGTGGATCAAAACTTCGACAGAATAAATGTTCGAATCACCGTGCGGCGCAGAAAACTCATGCAAGAAAGCCCTAGAGCCAGAGTTTTCAAAGCTGTTCAGAATAGCTGCCTACACGAAAACGCCAATGCCCAAGCCATTCGTAAGTAAAAGCACTTCAATTTTTTTGAAGGACGTACCTACATAGATGTGTTTTCTTTTTGAAATATCGAATACCGTAACGGTAAATTCTAGACGAAGTCCACCAGAAGTTATGAGTACGTACAATGCATCTTTGCCAGCTTCAGATTCTAAATCCATGATAGCAGACAGATGCTTCCATTAAAAATCATCAATAATTTATTCTTCATATTGTACAGAGCAAACAACTTCATTTCAGCAGTTCGCAGAGGGCTTACAATTTTCAGAATGGAATCTCAATTGAATAAAAATGAAAGTCCGCCTTTAGTGTCTTGCTGAGACCTCTTCTTTACGACCAGCATTGTTATAGGGGTCATAGTATCGGAAATTCGTCCCACAAGTCGTACATGATGAGGGAGCCGGCTGAATGTATGGTGTAGGAGTAGAGCAGGTAAGACAGGGAGCCGGTTGCTGGTACTGCGAGCAGGTGAGGCACGGAGCAGGAGTGACTGGAGGATCGTAGTGAGGTACTTGCTGGCATGTTGTGCAGGGCGCTGGAGTCACGACGGGTGGATCGTAACGCGGTATTTGCTGACAGGTCGTGCAAGGCGCCTGAGTGACTGGTGGATCGTAGTGGGGTATCTGCTGGCAGGTTGTGCACGGCGCCGGAGTTACAGGTGGGTCGTAATAAGGTATCTGCTGACATGGGGCTGTGTTGCAGGACTGGATGTCGACAGCAGAACCAAGGCACTGACAGCTACTGCAACCGCCACTGCAGACACGTTGTCTGGTACGTCGACCACCACCGCATGATACCCTTAAAAGATTTTTTTGCTGATTCCTCTGCTTGAAAATGAAAATGGAGTTCAGGCATCAGACAAATGGAAGCCTCACGTGCACTGTCCAAAAGCTCCCCACTCTCCCCATTGAGCTGCTGGCATAGTGATCGGTGGAGCCGGAGGAGCTGTCTGACAAGTGCTGCAGGGAGCGGTGGCCGGTGGGAGCGTACAGGTGGTGCAGCCCGTTGCCTGAACTCCCGTGCCCAGAGAGTATCCGGAGCAGCCTGAAAACTCACAGTAAATCGAATATTACAGAAACTGGGGTAAGTTTTTCAATAAAAAGGCAATATGTAGGAAAAATGATGGGATGCTGATGGTTCAGCGGTTATATAGGATTCGCCGCACGAATTTTTTGATTCAGGAGATGGAAGCATTTGAAATGGTCTCTCTTATGAAGACCGAGATCTACAGAAAACAAGTACCAACCCTAGCGTTGGAACATTTCCGGAATTACGACCCCGTCCCAGTGTTGGAGGGGGGCACCACCCCTACTAGACCTGGGGAGGGGCTCATACAACCCCTTCCACCCATCCTCCCCTATTTTAGCCGTTTCTACGGTATTTGATGACCTTTGCCGGTAAATCCTCTAATTTTGCCTATTTTGCATTTCAAGCCTCTCGTGTGAAGTTTTCACCGAACTCATCAAAACCCGTTAAACCCAATCCCTCTCCTGCAACCACGACTCACTCAAGACTTCAACTTCTATTAATACGACCTGTTTTCGACGTTTTGCCCTACATCGACCACAAATACAATCCCCTTCCAAACCTCGCAAGACACGCCCTCCCTCCCTCCCCCACCGCGCTGGTCTTGCTCTTGAATCGAATGACAAGATCCTGCATTGTAATTTCACTTCGAGGTCTTTTTAATACCTGTTCAAAAATGTCCGCAGTTTCAAAATAAAAATCCAAACATAATTTTTTCATGAAATGTTACGTGTTCGTGATTTTCCACACTTCTCTTGTTCAGTTTGCAGAATACCTGAAATCTACCGGTAAGCTCAGCTATGAGAAGCGCTCAGATAAAAATACATAACTATACGAAATTTTTGTGCTGTTGTAACATGAAGTTTCGGCGAATTTGCGGCTACCGCACATGTCCGCTGATAACAGATGATAGTGTTTCTCCACATAGAAGAACTCTTCCAAGGGAAGGGTCACGGAAATTCTCTATAGGAGACGAATAGGGAAAGTGACATCAGTTGTGCGGTAGGAGTCTAACGCCCAATGGGACGACATGTGACGCTTCAGGGGCAGTGGCGGCTTATCAGTGGCGTTGCACCTCCCTTATCAGACAAGGAAGGAGATGCAGTAGCAACCTGCTAGATATGATACGGTTGCCGTTATCGTTCTGGAGTGCACTTCATTCTCAGGAGCCGTATCTTCTTATCTAATCTTGCCGTGTCTTCTATAGGGTTACGCTCGTCCAACCGCTATCTTTCTCCGACTCTGAAGGGCGCACGCATAGTCGGTCGTCCGACAGCAACGATCGCAACTGTCTGACTGTCTAACTGCATCTAATCGTCGAATACTCAGGCAAGTCCGACGATCGATACGCATCCAATGCTGTGCGACAGTTACGATCGTTGCTGTCGTCCGACCGACTATGCGTGCGCCCTAAAGGTTGAAAAGCGGAGTCAGGGCGAATCCACGTGGAATCCAGCACGATCGCTTCCTTTAACTCGACCTGAAATATCGAGAGGGCGAGATGATGGGGGATGAACAAAGCATTAAATATTGTAGTCTTAGGCCGCGGTGATTGATAGTCATCTTTGCATCGTTCATATGTGGCTCATCCCATAGAGTTGTGTGGCTGTATGTAACAAATAGTGGCGTGAAATGGACCTAATGTCCTACTTTTTCAGTCCCTAACGCAGTAGGATTTTGTTTGTGATACAGAACTACGATACGCAGCAAATTGCAATCGATCAACGTCTTCTTCTGGTTCAAACACTCGGGATTAACCCGATTTACGTGAGCTATAATGAAAGCCTGAAAGTTCAGAAGAGCTTATAATATTCCAAATAGCGATATTAGACACGCTATTGAAATGAATAGAAAATGAGATATTCATAGAATAACAAAATTCACAAACCCGTGACTGCAGCGATTATCAGGATTGGAACCAGCATTACGTGCCCTCACCAACCTACGGTAGTCATTTATAGTGATCTCTATTTACCTCAGCATGCTGACAGCTAGCCGATGGCATCTGTGATTGTTTGGAAGATCGTTCACTCGCTGAAGCCCAGAGATCATTCGAACTCGGATGACTCAACGAAAATTGCGTTGGAGGAACAGCTTAGGTACCGGATTTCTGCAATTGTTTGCCTTGAGGCAACACCTACTTCGAGGAGCGGTCGACCTCATAGCGCACAGCTTTCCATCACCGATTTAGACTGGTTTTTACAGAGCTAACTTGCGAAAACTTAGATGAATATTTTGAAAAGGCTGTTCAAGGCAATGATGCGCCACGCATCCTACTTCTGCTCGGAATATTAGGATCTCTCGTATGCAATCTGGCCTGGTCAATGAAATTTGGACAAGCAGATGCACAAAGATGTAGATCTCCTCCTTCACGAACCTGCTATAAATTAACCTACTCCGAGAAGATGGAAGGCTCCGTGCTCTGGACGGTGTACGAAGTTTCTGGATTTGATCCCCAAACCGTGCACGCGATAAGAAGAGCGACTCACTAAACCACTGCTCCTGTGTCCTCCTCTATCGAAAATATAATACTATGGCAATAAAAGGATAAAGGATAAAGCTTTGCCGTTGATCAATCCCTTTTGGGATGCGGCACGCATTCTACTTCCATTTGTACATTCGTAGTGGCGTTTGAATGCGATGTGGCCTATACAATGACTTGCGGGGGCCAGCCGATGTACAAGTCAGTGTTTTTATCCTCCCAGACAAGTCTGGTACCAATTAACCGACCCCGGAGGGATGGAAGGCTTGGTTGGCCCGGGCGACTCACGACCCAGGATTTGATCCCCGGACCGCTCGCGTGGTAAGCGCGCCACTTGCCACTACACCACTTCCGCCCTAATAACAACGGCCATAAATATGTATATTCTTATTGATTGCGGTGCGCCTTTGAGGTAAAAAAAATAAAATAAAACAAAAAGTAAATAAACACCTACATTGACATGAAAATCAGGTTTGAGTCATAGTTTCCGTTTTGGCTGAGCCCATCCGCTATTGCGCTACGCACTCGACTTCAGATCAACAAATTGATCATGTTGTTAGGCAATTTGTAAATTTGCTGGGACGGGAATAAGGCAAGGTTTTACTGCTGAGAAAAGTCATCCTGGTCTTTTGGCGCTGTTCAGTTGAGGTTGTGAGTGTAACTAGGGCGATCTTCTCATCTAAAGCAATCATGTCTTCGATGAGTATTTTTCAAAACCATGTCTATCTATTGCCATGAAGTAATATGTTTTCAGGGTTGAGGAGCTTTCTCTGCTGCCTTCGGAGCTTGGAGTTGCATAAGGCTCTGAAATATCTGGGATGGTGCTCTGAAAATTCTACAATGCCCTTTCCCGGTCTTACTCCTATGGAGCTGGCAAATTTTGTAAGTTTTAAAATGAACAAATTCGTTCTGCACATGAATGTACCATAAAAATGTTCAGAAAGAAAAAGTTTGTCCGTTAGTTATGAAAACAAAGTGAGGCAATCATCAGAATGTCCACAAAGTTCCTGGAGAATGTGAGGTCGTGATATGACGGCGAAGGAGTTCAAATGTTTCCACGATTTTGCAACGATTTCGAATGCATGGCGTACATCACCACAAATCAATGTGTCCTAGATCAATTTTTTCTTGTGCCGACGTGAGATGAAGTCTTTGCTGACGGCTCAATATTTTGACCAGCCAGATCTGCCTGGAGCTGATCATGAAGCCGTTTCGAAGCGGAAGGCTTATCTAGTCCTAAAATCCTATCGGGACGAATACCACAAAGTGGCCACTTAGACCACTCTACATGATTGCTACATGTTTCTTGGCTACAAGAGATGCTGTTCTCGGAATACAACTCAACATAAAGCCTCATTAACCCAGTACTTCAGCATTTGATTGCGTCGCACAAATCCCTCAGCGCACAAAAAAGATTTCGCGCTCCAACTC